TACGTAATATACATACACACATACATACAACTACATAGATAAACTTACATAAATATATATAATATATATATATATACACATATATATTATCAATACCAGGAATAGTTATACTCGGCAGTAGCAGGATATTTCATTGTGAAAGGTAGAATTCCTTTACACTATTTTTAAAAATTTGCAAAGATTTCGCTTGCCTTATCGAAACTGGAAGGGAATTCCAGAGACGAGCAGCTTGTACAGTGAAAGAAGAATCGTAAAAAGAAGTACAGTGAGATGGAATCTCAAGACTCAGGCTCTCGGATGATCGCAATGTGTAAGAATTTGTGCAGTGCAGGAAACTGAAACGTTCTTTGAGATAATGAGGGTAAGTGGGATTGAACAAAATATTGTAGAGAAGAGATAATAATCGAGAATTCCGGCGAAGTCGTATAGGAAGCCACTTGAGTTCACTGCGATAGTTGGAAACATGGTCATATTTGCGCAAACCAAATATGAATCTGATACAGAAGTTTTGAAGACGCTCAAGTTTATTTAGCTGGTCCTCCGAAAGATCAAGGTAGCAAGCGTCAGCGTAATCGAGAACAGGAAGCAGCAGAGATTGCGCTAACGCAACCTTAGTGGTAGTGGGCAAGAAGTTACGCAGTCTCCTCAGTAAAGCGGCAGAAGCATATAACTTGCGACTGATAGATTGAAGCTGTGGACCCCAACCCAGATGGCCATCCATTACCACCCCCAAATTTTTTACTGTTTGACTAAAAGGAATGTCAACCCCCTCAAAAACAACTTTCGGAAGTATCTGCGTATCAACTCTGGAAAGTAATCTAGAGCTACCTACTATCATGGTTTGGGTTTTAACAGGATTGACGCTAAGACCAAAAGCTCTACTCCATTCTGCAATGAGTTGGAGGTTAAAGTTAGTGTTTGCTATTGCCTCATTTAATCTAGACAGCGGTGCTTCGCAGTAAATTTGGAGATCGTCTGCATAAAGGTGATAGGAACACGAAAGATTATGAGAAATAGAATTAATAAAAATTGCGAACAAGAAAGGAGATAATACGCCACCTTGGGGTACGCCAGCTTTCGTGTCACACCATGAAGAGAAATTCTCATTAAGGCGGACCCGCTGCCTGCGCCCATACAGATAACTGTGAAACCAATCAATTACCGTTGGAGATATGTTAAGTAAGCGCAGCAAGGCAAGAAGTACATCGAAATCGACCGTATTAAATGCGTTGCTGAAATCCAATAATGTTAGTATTGTCAGATGGCCATTTTCCATCGCAAGACGAATATCGTCAGTAACTTTCACGAGAGTAGTTGTTGTGCTATGACCAGATCGGAAACCGGATTGGAGAGGATTCATTAGGTTATGCCGAGCAATATATATACTGAATTGTTGATGAACAAGACGCTCCAAGACTTTAGATAGGAAAGGAAGAATAGATACAGGACGGAGTTCGTTAAGAAATTTGGGATTACTAATTTTGGGTAAAGGGATAATTTGAGCTTCCTTCCAAGATGAAGGGAATGTGGAATTAGAAATGGAACTGTTGAAGAGAAAAGTGAGGACAGGTAGGATGATGTCAAGGATTGGAATCAACATATTGCGACTGATGCCGTCACTACCAACTGCATTAGAGGTGATTGACAGCACACACTTCTTAACATCACAATCCGCTAATTGATCAAGAAAAAATTGAGAGTGATCTAGGGTTGGTAAAAGAGAAAGACGGTTTAAAGTATAACTTTTGTCGATGTCCTTAATAACAGACGAAGAGGAAAAAATAGACATTAAGAGAGTCAATATTAAAGCTGCTAGGGATGGAACACTCTTTTGATTTACCAATCCCAAGTGACCTGAGAAATTTCCAAACTTTTGCTGGATCTTCGTTCTCAACTGATTTATGGATATGGCGACGTAATGCATCCCTACACACCAAATTGCAGCGATTTCGAGCTTTACTGTAGACCTCTTTATTATAAGCACTTGGACGTAATTTATATCTAGTTTTAGCTACCACCTTTTTATGCATTAGTGATTTAATGTCTTCGGTAAGCCACGGTGCAGGCAAGTGTTTTAATTTGATAGGTCGGCAAGGTGCATGCTTGTCATACAACTGAATGATCAGTGAGTTAAAAGCTTCAACTTGTTTATCTACGGTTTGAGCGTCCAATACTGGAGACCAATCAATACTTCGAGCGTCGTCAAGAAGTTGTTCGCGATTTATACCACTAAAGTTGCGCTGAATAATGACTTTGGGTTTAATTTTAGGAGGACGAATTTTATATGATACATAAATAAGGTCATGATAAGAAAATGCATCGGCCGAACATTGACCATGCTTTGCAACATGCTGTGGAGATGAAACTATAGATAAGTCAAGAAGAGAAGGCGTAGAGTTAGGAAAATGATGAGTAGCACTAAGTGGAAGTATGTGCATGTTGCTTGAGTTGATAACTCTATGAAGAGAAGAAGTGCGGTGGTCATTTTTTAGGAGGCAGGTATTGAAATCTCCCATAATAATGGAGTGAGTAAAAGAAGGAACAAAATGATCCAGTAATCTCTCAAAGGTATCAAAATAGTTAACACGCAGCGAAGGGCTATAATAAACTCCGAGAAGAATTTTAGTATGTGATAGAATAACTTCCACCAGTAGATGCTCGCCCGCATCGGGTAACGGTGGCTGAGGAGAGGTGCTAATGATATTGACAGGAATTTTATTTCTTAAATAAATAACCTATAGATGAAAGCATATCAATACCCAAAGGCGTTATGTAAAGTGACTTTAACGTAACGTTATGTTTTCTAAAAAAAAAAGTTTTTTTTTAGTTGAAATATTACGTAATGTTATGCATACTTAAATAAAATATCAATTAAAACTTCTTCATAAATACATTCGATTACGAAGATAAATCGAATTGGTAATGCATTAATACATCACTATTTGATCAGTACTCGAATTGTCAAAAAGATATTAAATGATTCGAAAGATTATAACAGCAACGAACACAGATGTGGTGGTTAGTCGGCCTCACTAAATGCCAACTAAAAAGGCTACTGGAGTTGTCAGTCGTAAATGATATTTCCGGAACTTTGGCGAACGTATTCCAACTAAAAACGAGCAGTACGCAGATTTCGTGTATAGATTAAAACCACAGATTTTAAAATGACATTACAATATATACGCGACCAGTTTCCTATGGCTACGTTTTGGCCTTGTATAGATTGAAAAGACGCAACTGCGTCATACGCGGATTAAATAGGCTATATAATATACGCGAGCAGTCACGGGAAAGCATCTGAGTCATTCTATAGTAACAGGCGGGACATTTTCACTCATTTTTTTCTGTACTTATCTTATTTTTGTTATTATTTTGACAAGTAAACAATACATTTTAACAGTAATATAAAATTCTATAAATTTCCTCTAATTTACTAGACTTTCACATGTTTAGATTTAGTTTTTCAATGAAAAAATTAATTTTAAAAATTGTGACGGTCGGGTCTCTTCTCACTTTAGAGTTTTGAGAGTTTGTAAGAAACTATAAATTTTATTAATGCAAATAATCGTGTGTGTATACTGAAAAGTTCAAACTTTAGATAAAAAAATATTATAAAAAGTTTGAATTTAAATTATAATTTTCAACAAATTTTAATCAGAAGAATGTAACGGTCGGGTCAAGGCGTGGTGACGGTCGAAGCAAGTAACAAATGAGCAAAAATGCAAATATTTTTTATATCTCTATTAACGGTTTTTTTACATGTAATAAAGTAACGTAATGAAGTGGTTTAAATGTGGGTGGGCCTCTCCATTAAGCATCATCTGGTGCTTAGATATAATTCTATAAACTTGCCGCCCCAAAGGCCATCGGTTCTTCTAATAATGTATTCTACTGCAACTTCAGCTAAGTAATTTTTTGAGCAATATCAGTAACGTTGGTTATCCTCTACATTCCTAATAAGATCATATAGAAAAACACCAAGCACTGTCCTCTCCGTTGCCCGCTGGGTGACCTTCAACCTTATGAAACCCATTGTGAACGATCACATTTTCAGGTAAGTTTTCGTCTTGATCGTTAATGATTTTCGTCTTATCCGTGATCATCTTAAGACCCACTATTTGGGACGGCAATACTCAGATCTTGTATCATGGCGTTCAGGTCCTCCAATATCTCACCCAATGTGGTCTTCGGTACTATAGCCTCTTCCGAAACCGACTTACTTAGAAGATTGGAAGTCATCGAGCCTACGAGCAAAAGTTCTTTTGTTCTATTCTATTCAAGCGAAATTTTCAAAAAGAAGGATCATGAGGGTACTGTGATGGTTGAGACATACCTGGATATTAATATTAAAAAAGCCCTATAGCTACCTTAAAATTCATGCCATTTTTAACTATTTGTTACTCACAGCACACATATTTTATCATAAACAAGCATTTTTGGAGTCAAAACTTACAAAATTGAATGAATAATTGACGGTCGGGACATTAATTGAGGCCACCAGAACCAGAGCGGCCCAAACCACAATTTTCGATATTTTAGTTGACCACGGCAATGCGTCTTTTTAAACCCCTAAATTCGTAGCCAGAGTGGCTCAAATGTCATTTCAGTATAAAATCGTAGATGGCGTTAAACAAATTTGTTTTGGCGTTTTGATACTTAGTGCAATAGTAATAGAGCATAGTGGCCCAGAACACTTGGGTCACTATAGAATTTTCCGCCATTACGGCTCATGTGACTTGGGCCACTCTGGTCTTGGATACTTTCGTGTAAACATTTTTGTTTGTGCGGTTACAATACCGGTGTTTTTACGCAATAAGTGTGTTAATATAAGTTATTATTCTACGTAAACGTGCGGGAAAGTGTTGGCGGTACAGCAATAAGCTTAAGAGGTAAGAATACATGTTATTAGTCAGATATTTAAATTTTTGTCTATAAATTGTAACCTATAAATTAACTTAAATTTTATACTTTCGTTTCGGACAGATCTAGCAGGAATTACAATGAGTTTAACTGAGGATGAAGCTACTGAAGTCATTGAAGATGACATACGAGGTAACCCTTAGTTTAAAATGTTGAGTTTGTAAGGTTATTTTTTTTCAGTATTTTTATTGTCAAATTTTGTTTGAGACAGAGCCAGCAGAAGCTACAATGAGTGCAACTGCGAATACGGCTACTGACTACATTGAACAAGAATTATTACGAGGTAAGCTTACTTTTTTAGAGGTCCGTAGTAAAATAATTCATCTTTATTTCTAATGATTAATATAATGATAATGATTTCTTAGGGTAGGTTTTGCTATTAATTTACATTTATTTTGTAGACATATTTGGATCGAGTCCAGTGGAGCCCTATGAAGATTCAGGTTCTGAGTACGTCCCGGAACAAGGTAGCAAGAGCTCATCGAGGAGTTTACGAGACATTCTTGGGGACTCGTCTGGGTCTGAAGGGAATGATGAGGGTCTTTCATCTGTTTCTACAAGCAAAGATACAAGAAAGCGTATACGCAAAGAAAATTTATGGAAAAAGAATGTGAGAAAAAATAAAAGAGCTAGAGGTGAGTCATACGTAAATACTAAAGGCGTTCTCATTCCCGCTAAACAAATAGATACAGGTCTTCAATGCACCTGTAATCAAAAATGTCACGAAAAAATTGGACATGACCGATAAAAACAACTTTTTACAAAGTTTTATGATTTAGGAAATTTTGATTTGCAAAGTGCATATCTATATTCACTCATTCATGTCATGGTAAAAGCAAGGTCTTATGTGAGAGCCAAAGACACCTCATCGGAACGGGTAGCTGGAAACACTACATCAAAGCCCAAGGAGTTTTCTCGATTATATCACTTACCAGAGGCGAATGGAAAACATATTCGTGTGTGCAAATCATTTTTTAAACAAGTTTTTAAAGTATCGGACGGACGCCTTACAAGGGTTCTGAAAAATAAGCCCCTTGGCGATCCCGCTCCCATTGATAAGAGAGGCAGGCACATCCCGTCGAATAAAACTCCAGACACAAAAGTAAACGAAGTTAAGGATTTCATCAATACTTTCCCGAAATATGATTCTCACTACACAAGACACAAAAGTGAAACAAGACAGTACTTGCCTCCTCACTTGAATTTGTCAATAATGTATTCAGAATACAAAAGTAAGGTTGAAGTACCAGTTTCAAAATTTATTTTCGAAAAAATATTTAATGAAAATTTCAACCTTACTTTTCATGCTCCAGTAACTGACTCTTGTAAGCGATGCGACAATTTTAAAGTTAAAATTGACGCTTGCGATACCAACGAGATATCTAAAAAAAATGAGCTTACTATCGCCAAAGAGCTTCATTTACGAAAAGCAGAATCTGCAATGACAAATTTAAAATTTGACATGCAAAATGCGAAGCAAGATAACGATACTACCGTCATAATATTTGACTTAATGAAGACACTCCCAACACCAGTCATTTCAACTGGTATTTGCTACTACAAGCGTCAGTTGTGGACCTACTGTTTAGGCATTCACAATGCTGGTACAGACGAAATGTTTATGTATGTCTGGGATGAATCGACAGCATCCAGGGGACCACAAGAAATAGGTTCATGCCTTCTAAAATTTATTAGAGCACATGTACATACAAAGAGGCTTATCATGTACTCTGACCAGTGTGGCGGGCAAAACCGCGACATAAAAGTCGCAGCGTTATGTATGCACATAGTTTCTAGTCCTCAATTTACAGTGGAAAATATAGATCACAAATTCACGGTCAGCGGGCATTCGTTTTCATCTTGCGACCGGGCTTTCGGTTTGGTGGAAAAACAAAAGAAGTATTTCCCAAACATAAACATATACGTTCCCGAACATTGGAACAATGTGATACTAGCAGCAAGGAAAAAGAAACCTTTCCAAATTGTGGAAATGAAACGAGACGCCTTTATATCCACCAAAGCCTTGGAAACTAATATCACAAACAGGAAGATCGGCGTTGATGGAAGTAAAGTTCAATGGCTTAAAATACAGTGGATTTTGTACAATAAGAGCCATCCATTCTCGATGTTCTTCAAATACTCCAACGAGCCAGATATACTTTTCACGGAGGTCAATTTCAGCAAGAGGTCATCCCAAAATACTTCAAGCTTTGAACTAGAACTTTTATTTCCAGAAGGAAGAAAAATCAGCCATGAAAAAAAAAAGGATCTCCTATGTCTTTTGGAATATGTTCCACCTATCTATCACCCATTCTATCAACAGCTCAAAGTCGTTTCCAATGCGGGGAACGAACTAGATGGTGTAATTAGTGATTCTTCGACTGATTAAACTGACTGACTAATTAATTACTTTGTTATGTTATGCAAAAGATAGTCTTAAGTTTAAGGAAGAACTATTATATATTAATAATGTATGATTTACAGTAAAACAAGAGTTTAATTAAAATTACACAGTGACAAAGAAGCTAGTTCTAAGCCAAATTTGTACTATTTAAGTTGCAAATGCTAATTTATATTAAAATTAATAAAAAACGTGCTATGATTCAAACATATTGGCCTATTATTCATACACCATTTATAAACATATTGTCAATGCTAAAGACCATAGTGGCCTATGTGCAAAAAAAATGTACAAATAACAAAAATATTGAATATTTTTATAATTCATCTAAATTTCATCAATAACTAGTATCATATTTTAATAATTTTTAACACAGTGTATGATACTTTAAAAAAAAACATTAACTTAAAAATTCACCTCAACTATTTTTGCCCATAACCACATAATTGTTATTTGTGTTTGGGTCACTCTGGTTCTGGTGGTCTCAATTCTAGTTACCAAATATTGCTCAATATCTATAAGGTATTTTGTATAGTAAATCTTTATTAAAATTGGAATTTACTCACGTCGACAACACACCAAATCACAAACAAAATGGCTAATCTATTTAGTTTTGAAACCAGAGATAATAATTCTATGAAATTTCTTGACTACATCTGGTGTTACTATTGAGTGAAAAATAAAAATTGCAGTATTTTGCGAAAAAAAGTCAGTTTTGTAAATTTAAGATTATGTATTATCAGTAAGTATGTATATTAGGATGCATACTGATGTATATTAAGATTATGGTGTCACTAAATGTGGAATGGCCCAATATTTTCTATGCGAATCAAGTTTATTTGTCCCAAAAATTTTAAAAGAAAATTTTAGTAAGTAGTATTTTTAACAGCATGTACATATACATATTCAATAAATAACATCGATCATCTGTGGTCCAGTTAATTTATATATTCAATTAAACATAAATTGTATGATATGAAATAAAGAAGGCTTTAGTGTCCCAACAACAGCAGTCTTCATTATTGTGCACTTCGATAAGAAGCTCACTAATGCACGTGTCGAATAATAATAATAAAGGTGACGCCACTAAGTCAGTTAACCTTCGTTAAATGATAGACACGGGATAGTATTGATTACCGTTTCAACTACAGCAAACCTGGAGCTGTTTACCAGTTCCGATTATTACATACAGGTTCATAATACAACCGAAGCTCTCCATCCATGCTCGTTATATACTTAAGATATTAATTATGACTTGCGAAATTATATTCTTCCAATTCATAATATAAGGTGCAAAACGGCTTCATTATTTGTCATTAAAATCAATATATGGAAGTATACAGTAGTAATTAATTTACAACAAAAATATAAATAAAACAGTTCAATATCCTTCCATGTTTATTCGTAAAAAACAAGTGTAGACACGTGGAGTTAGCGTAACGTAATGTGAAAGTGTGAGTGTGAGCATCACAATTCTGTCGTCACACAGACTAGGTCCTCGTTTCTGCTAGGTAATATTAACGCATGGAGGAGACTGGAGAGAGCATCGGCTCATTCTTGGTACAAATACATGTCACCGATTTATGGTGCGGGGCGAGGTCACTTTCGGCTATGTCTATTGGCTACTTAAAAATCACCGGATACTCTAGGGATGCCAAGGTGGTAAAAATATCGATATCGATAAAAGAGGTTAATCAGTTCCAATTAATTAAACAAATCATTCTATTAATGATAAAATAGAAATAATCAACATACGCAAAACATGAATACTTAATATTTTTATTATTTGTTATTTAATAATACTTATTATTTCACTTATTATAGAGTAGATATAAAAAAAACAATAATTTAGTGGTAAAAATAATAATGCCTATAATTTTTGTATTGACTTTTTGAAACACATTACCTAAGGATCTACTTTTGGATCACACTAGTGTCCCGTTTCACAAAACTGTCAATTTAAAGTTAAACTAGACGAATATTGGTAGTTCTGTTGCACAAACTAGACTAAATTTAATTTAAATCCTGTCATTAACATTTCTCAAATGGTTACATGAATAATCATTATAATTTATTATTCTTCTATATATATAAAAATCTATTGCTGTTCGTCTGTCTCGCTAAAAACTAGATAACGTCTGGGTCGTTTAGCTGATTTTGGTTTTGAAATATTTATCGTAGTTCAGGGAGGGTTTAAACTGTGAAAGGTGATACGAATTACAATGGGTCATTAGGAAATCTGTATACACAATTTTATTTATTAGACTAATTACAATATTTGTTTTTGACATACAAAATTAGATATACACTCAATTACACAAACGTACATTATACAGCCTGATAGAACTATAATTAGAAAAAATTACTGATTTTTAAAATGAATAAGTTTTGAGTATATTTTTCGTATATATTCTTTTGGATTTCCATTATTTTTAGTGATAAAAGTCAGTCTAGTGTCAATATACTTTTTTGCTACACATGAAGTTAAATCAATTAAGTGATTTGTGGATTCTATGTCAAATTGGTGGAAGTTAATATCTGGAAATAAATCGTATCCCACAAAAGATTTAAGAACGACAATTACCAAATAGTCTGAACTATATTTGAATGCCAGACTTTTATCACCGCTTTCCGCCAATGCTCTTTTAAGATAAATTTCACTCCGACGACATATGTCTACAACTGTTTTTGAGGCATACAAAAGTTTATTTCTAACATCTTTTTGATATTGTAAACTGTCTTGTTTGGGCTCTCCGACTAATGCGCCAATGCATGTTTGGCATTTTATCTTTTTCATTAAAGAGTGAACTACGTATCCTGCGATATATTCAATAACCTTTGTGCTGAATTCTGACAAACAGATTTTTTCTTGTAATTCAGGATCGAAATCGTCATTTGTTTCCGACATATTGTCCTGATCCTTTCGGGGTGTAGTTATATTAATGCGTTTTAATGCGGAAGTACATTGCAAAATCGAAATTTGGTTAAGAGCTGAACAATTACCGGTGCCTGAATTTTTTATTTGAGCATAAGTCAGTAGTTTTTTATAGATGCTCTCGAATATTCTGGCGGTCGGGTTGTTGTTCGATCCGCCGTGGCATCTAATATTTCCAAAGAAATGCTCAAGGTGGTCTTGACTGATTTTGTGAAATGGCAAATACTTGATCGGGCATTCTTTACTTATAACTAACTGCTGGATCAAATATTTAGCGCTTTCTATGCAAATACAAAATCCTAAAAATCCAGTGCGCCGAGGTGAATCTATAAGTTTGACGGTTTGTTTAGTATTTGCTTTGACTAATTCAGTAGTTAGATTGAGAATGTCTTGTTTAACTGAATCTAATAGATTTATTGTGCAAGCAACAGTTTCCTCATTAATCGCTCTTTTCAGGTCATAGCCACGAATATGTGAATCCAAAATATCAAAAAGATTATTGATCGTTTTTAGAAAATCGATTGTACCTGTTACATCTTGAAATTTTGGCAAGAAAAGTTGATTTTTGCAAAATTCAAGAGCATCTGCGACACTTTTGCTAAAAACTTGAGTTGGTAAACTAACCTTCATTATTTTGCATTTAAAATAAATATGCATCGCTCTTAGACGGTTCGCTAAATGAAAATTTTCTTCTGTCTGCAAATTATGTAAATCAACTAAATGTTGCCAAGATATGATATGACCATCTTTATTTGAAAATTTTCCATAAAATTCAAAAGCGTTTCTAACAAGTTTTACCATATGCGCTGGATCTAAAAAAATTGCTACTTGATTATTATTGCACGGATTTGGGAAGGTAGTCATTAAATTATCAGGGTCTAAATTGCAGCCTAATGATTTAGCCATAGATAAATTAGCAGGACAACCGTCAAAGGTAACTGCAACTACGTGAATACCAACTTCTTCAATCAAGTGTATGGCTTGAGTAAGAAGTGACGCCTTTTGATTGCTACTGATGCCATTGGTCAAGAAATATCCAATAGGTATTTTAAACGAAGCATTAAGCGGGACTAAAAGGAAAACAAGCGCTTCTTTAGCTTCAAGTTGGCAGTCTGATGCTAAATCAGTTCCATAATTGACATGGCCGTAAAATCTTTTTCCATGTGGATGATACTCAATACCACTTTTTATTGACATTTCATCGAATATTATTGTAGCGTAAATTTGTTTCCCTTGTTTAGCTACATCTTTAAGAGTATTTAAAGCCTCTTTAGTAAAACCAGGTTGGCCGTCGACAGACTGGTACCATTTTCGAAGAGTACTAGAGCAAGGTAAACATGTACTAAATGTTCTCCTAACAAAATCATAAGCTTTGGGGGAGTAAAAGTGTAATGTAATAGCAAATGCTCGGAGTTCTGACGAGTATTTTGTTTTGGGTATGTGTCCTGTTAAATTCTTTTGCTGCTGCCTCATTATCAATTCCTGGTTTTCTATTCCAATACCTTTCAAAATTTCTTCGTTTTCTTTGTTTAATAATGAATTTCTGGTTAGAGTATTTAAAATGTCTTGTAAGCTTGCGTCTTTCTTTTTTAGTAGCCTTGCTTTATCTTGTAGTCTTTTTACATCCTTTTTCTTTTTATTTAAACTTAATATGAGATGATCTATTTGGCGTTTCATTTTACGTTTTCGGGGTGTCAAATCAACATACTGTTCTTCGATGTTTTCATTGTTTTCTTTACTTTGTTTCTGAAATAGGAATTAGAATATTATGCATTACCTTGCTGCAGTAAAACAAATTAAAGCAATAAATATTGATTTTTAAAACGATTTCAAACACTTTATAAAAGTGAAAAACAATTCAAAGAACTTGTTGGTGCTGTTTTCGAATTCAATGATGGTATCTATAAAAAATATCTTAAAAATACTATTTTTATTAATGAAGTCTATGTAAAAAGACCACAATGCTTACCAGAAAAGGTAAGTACAGTGTGGGTAAAGATGAGCTGTATAATCGGCGTATATTTTTGAAATTTTCGAAACAGTCTGAAGTAAAATGTCTAGAACATATAACACTGTGTTTTTTTGGGAAAAAATTATCTCTATGAGTAGCGTCGATCCATTTTCCTTTAGTCTCATTGTCAGTGGGAAATCTACAAAAAAATTGAATATGAGTTAATGTACCTAATATTAGCTGAGTAATAAAGTGTTTCTTTATCGGGCTAATACTTCTATCATCAAAGGTACATCATTTAAGTCTTTTAGGAGTGCAAAAAAGACAAACAATTTCGTATCAGGCATAACGACAAAAACAGTATCGGATAGATTTCACATTTATTCCCTTAATCTGGCCCTGTCGGTTCATGAGTAATGGTACCTCATGCAAACACATAATATTTAAACTAACAACTTTCTACCTTATGGCATTATATTTAAATTAAGACAGTTATATAAATCGTGTATCTGGACTTTATCGATATATTTTTTACGATGTGATTGTACAGCGCTATCAAGAAAAAAAGAGACAACTGCTTATGAGAAATCAATGCACCAGAAAGAGACGGCATGAAAGACATAAACGCGTGCATTTCGAAAATAATAATTTAGGATAATATTTTTGGTTTCATTTTAATTTTCAAAATAAAGATGGAAAATCACTTACCTATGAAATGATATCCCATCTTTCGTATAACTCGAAGTCGTAGTACTCTTTCCACACCATTTAATTGCGCAACTAGGCATTTTTTCCGATGATTTTTAATTTTAAAACGGGAGCGCGTAACGTATTAACCTATTCATTAATATGACTTCGACTGACGAAATAATTCGTCGGTACACTTGATATAGCGTAGTATTTTCGAGGCGCTTTCCCCCGCATGCTCACTCCAGTCTCCTCCATGTGTTAACGTAATAATGCCACCTCAATAGCGTTTCAACTAATTGTATTTTCCCGCTGCATTAACAACCTGACGGCAAAGTAACATAATAATGCATCTTGATAAATCAATGATGACAGAATTATTTATCATTTTGTGATATTATAGGTTTCAAAAAAAAAAGTTGCTATTGAAACATCATTAACGAGCTCAAATTAATTAAGTATTAGAGGAATTGAGCCTCTCAGCCGCGTGATGTTATTACGTGATTGACCGATCAGGCAGAGGTGTGTCGGTTTGAATAAGAAGTAAGAACGATCCACTGCGGGTAGGCGATTCAGCTGATCTCACCGGCGGCGGCAGCATTGCGATGCACATCCGGGGCGGTCGATACAGGCGCGACTTGCGCGGTACCGCTGTGCCCCAAGCGCCTCCCCCGCCACGAATGGGCCCCTCTCGTCTTCGAGCCCCCTCTATGACGGCTCACATCGATTCGCGCGCTTGATAATTATTAAGAGCTTTTTGGGCAAATTTATCATCTCACGAGAGAACAAACATGCAAAATAAACTATTACAACCAAATTGGCTATCATTTTAATTAAAAGTAAAACAGTTTTCATGAATCTGAAACTTATACTATAATATTAAGTAGCATTATTAATTGTTTCTAGTAGTCCTGCAATTACATGCTGTAATAAAATTTTTGATTACATATATGTCCCGACCAAACGCATTGTTAATATTTTTACCCGATTAAGGCAAAAACGATTTATGATTTTTTGACTTTTCCCAATAAAATACGCACCGTAAGCACCTTATTGAAATAGTTATTATGTAATTAATATTATTAAAAAAATTGACTTAACGAAAAGATCTAAGTTTCTAACGCTGATTATTAATAAAATGTTTTTTTTATTTATACCTACGGGTATATAATACATTACGTACGTTGCATGATACCGTGACAAAAATTTGTGATATATCGTTCAGAAATATATATCACAAATTAATAATACAAAACATAGAAAATAATACTTATAAATTCAATTAAATAGTAAAGTTATGTCTAGCAAACTTTTTTATGACTCTCACGGGGTGGGGGGGAGTATCCGGGATTCTGCAAGGAGAGCTCCGGATATATTTCTAAAAAAGTATCGATACTAATATTATAAACAGGAAATATTTATGTTTCTTTGCAATGAAGACGCTCCAGAATTCATCATCGCATCATCATCAAGTTGCATCCCGCAAATACCAGGATCCCGCGGGTTTGAATATATCGAGATTGAATACAGGCTGTGGGATTGGAAGCCCTAATATCAACCACAAACTTTTCCTATCCGGGTACGGATGCGGATGCAGAACGTACGAAACGTATCAATTTTAAAAAGTTTTTATTAATCAAATCTTAAATATAAAAGAAGATTTTTCTTATGCATGAATTCATAAAGATGACTTATATTACATTAAATAGAAAAAAACTTACTAACTAGATGAATGAATAATCTTGGGTTAACGATATGGATGGAAGATCATATGACTGCTTCATAATTAATTAGGTTATAAAACAAATGAAAGAAAGTAGGGGGACCAAGTAACGGAAATCAAGCCTTTTGCAGTATGGGAGCGCCCTTATTATATGTTTATATTATTCTGGTTTTAGTACATATTTGTTGTTATAGCAAAATCCATCGTCTCTTAAAATTGCGACTGGCTAACTTTCACGCTCAATGAGATAGAGCCTATATGTAAGAGACAGACAGACAGCAAAGTCTTAGAAATAGGGTTTCCGTTTTACCCTTTGGATACGGAATCCTAAAACAATTATTTTATTCCTTACATTGATGATATGGCCAAACGTGGATTGCAATATCATTAAAGGTTTGACGCTTAAATGATATGATTAATTTTGGATCGCCATTTCATTAATTACCTACATTTCATGAAATGACCAACAGCATCATGAAGTCATCAATTCTACGACATATCGAGCCTTTTCGGGAAAAACATCTTAAGTGATAAAATTCCAAAAATGAAAATTTTGTACTAATCGTTAGATCACTTACATTTGCGCCTTACTCATTTACTTTGAAGGCAAAAGTTGTATAAAATTATTTTTTATGAAATTTGAAAGTTTTTGTCGTAAGTACAACCAATGAGTTTTTGATGGAACTTCCTACAAGTTAGGTGTAGGAAGTCATCAAAAGTTTAGAAAATTATTTAAGACCAAAAAAAGATAGATGTGATTAATGCGAAGGAATAAAAAACTTAAGTGAAGAAGACAAAAAAGATCGTTAAAGCTATTTCTAGAAAATCAAAAGCGGTCCCTGAACCTATTTTTGAAAATGTGTGATATACCAGACTCCTACGTTTGAGAAAATATTGAAATACCGTGTAATGGAAAAACCAGGGATGCGTTACCGCAACCAAAGAAGATGATTGATTCCGCTTATTTGTAATTTTTACTTCTAGACAACCTATAGTTTTTTAAACATTATGGATCTCTTAATTAAAAATATATGTTTTTAGAATTTCTGACTACCTATATCGTCGTGGTACCAGCAATAGGATGTATGTCAAAAAAGACAGTAATACATTGCAAATAGTTGTATGCAATTTTTTATGTACTTGTTATTACATAATATCTTTCCTCTCACTATGTACACTCTTTTGCCAGTATATTAATAAGAAAATTATAAAATTGACGGAAAAACAAAAAATTTAGAAAAAAACTAGTTTTTTGTCCGTCTTGTAAACAGCGAGTATTTTGACATACATCCTATTGCTGGTACCACGACGATATATAAAAATTATAGTAAGCGACATACTTGACTACACCTTTTAATCAACGATGGTTTTAACGTAAACGACATTTTTAGAAGTATTTGAAGTGCTAAATCAAAATTTAACATATACATCAATAGGTAGTCGCCGAAAATTTCAAAACGATGATGTCAATACTATAAGAAATATTTCAAAAACCTTCTGTAAAATAATAGGTTAGGGAAAAGTTTTTTCTTATTTTATATAAAAAATTAAATCATTTTTTAATAAATTTTATTTATATTTAAGTAAAGTATGTAGGTATCATTCTGATCGATACATTTTTACTATCTCGTAGATAAGGAAATGTTTGGGGTTCTGATCAAAAAAACCGCGACAAGTGGTTTTGACTGTCCTCGCGTGATGTTAATTTGACACTGCCTAATGAATTCTGAAGAACAAATGGAAATCTGAAGGTGAAAGGGCAGGACTATACGGCGGATGCATTAACACCTCCTAACCAAACACTCTTACTTTGTGCTGAATCGAAAAAGATTTGTGAGGTCTACCGTTATCTTGATGAAAAACCACACTTATTTTATTAATTAATTCTGGCGCTTTCTCTCAACTTCTTGCTTTAATCTCGTCAGTTGTTCGCAGTAGAGTTCTGAATCAATGTCCTGTCCTACCTGGCGGAAACAGTTCATAATGAATAATATCCTTCCAATCTCGCCATACACACAACATCACCTTGTTGCGAGTTAACCCCACATTCTGAAAAGTGACCGACCTTTGACCACGACCTTTTTCACACGTTCTTGTCGTACGTGACCCACTTTTCATCACCAGTTATCAGCTTCTTCAAAAATGGTTCGGTTTCAATACGACGTAATAAAGAATCACAAACGAGTACACGGTTTTTTCTTTAGGTTTAAGTCAGTGAACTTGTGAAATACCCAAATATCCATTTTTTTTGTACCCAGCTTTTTTCAAATGCGTCAATATTGTTTTGTGGTTAATCCCCAGATCTTCAGCTACGTCATAACTACTGATATGCCGATTTTGCCACTTTTTCAAAATTGGCACCCGTTTTATTCGTAACAGGTCAAATATGCACGTCACCAGAGTGACGTGCATATTTGACATTAAAATTTCCGAACTAAAAGGCTTAAACCAAATTCATGATACACTCACAGATACTGCACTAAGTTCATAAACGTCACAATTTTACTTTATTGTGATAACATTTCAAAATTAATCAAATTTCTTCATTAGATTCACTTAATTTAACAATAACAAAAACAAATGAAAATCACATATTGTCCTTATTTGAATTCAGAGTTATCTTCTTTAAAATAATTTTTTTTAATGACACATTTAGTACACACATAGTATAGCCAGAAAGGTTTTTATTACAATTTTATGCATACGATAAGCGAAAAGACTTTTTCCCCAACCTAATACAAAAAATGGCGGTTACTATATTCTTTCTGGCGCCCAATTGAACCACTGTTTTAACCAGTTGGCTGCGACATACATATTCACCGAATAGTAGAACTATTGACTACCTCCGTAGCCGAGTGGTTCGCACTCCGGTTTCAAGGTGACACCGTCTCTTGAGGTGCCGGGGTCGATTCCCGGTCGGGTCAATGTAGAAAAGTGTTGTGGTCTTTGTTGTCTCAAGATACTCCATAATCATGGAATCTGGGCAACGTAAGTGGTCTTGTCTAATGTTAATTAAAAATTTTACAAATTAGTTGTAACATAACTATTGGCTATTTAATTAATCCAAAAAAGTATGAGATGAGCGAAGACAAATAATTTTTAAGTTTTGTTAGAATACCATACTTGTCTTTTCATATAAGCACAAGTTATTTCTGGCATGCGTCGACATGCTTGCTTTGCTTGCTTGCTTGCTCCCATACAAACCAGTTGTATAGAAGTCCGGTGAAGCAGTTGTCAACTATTTTTTTATTGGTAACATAAAAATAAACTTTAATTTTTATAACTTTAAAACTGACGGACTTCCATACAAACTTTCAATCCTTATTTCGCCCTTTTAAGGATTTAATTTCCAAAAATCCTGCTTTAGTGAGTATAAACTACACAAAATAATTCTATTGACCAAAGATCCTGGATCCAACTTCAATAGTTTATGTTAGGCAATGATGAATTAGGGGCCGTCCATAAATTACGTCACACAAAATTCAGGATTTTTAACCCCTCCCCCCCTCCTATCACATGTTTATCTATACAAATTCTACTAAATATTGTTCTAATGTCATAGTTCGTCAACCCCCCCCCCTCCTAAAGTGTGACGTAATTTATGGATGACCCCTTAGTCAATTAATCACAGTTCTTTTAGAAGTATAATTCAATTACAAGCTTATTTACATCGTAATAATGTATACTAAAATATTCATTTCTTTTAAATAATTATAACAACATTAATAACTAAATGATTTATTAAAAATCTTTTCTTGAAACAATATAATTTTTATGCTCTGCCCGGGCATTTATCGGGCAAATAATTCCGAAAATGCCTGAGTTTTTTCTCTATCTGCATTTTGCCCGTTTCTAGTGGGCACAAATAAATGATTGTTTTTATTAAATAGGTTCCTTTCTCTTTGGGCTAAAGACATGAAACACGCCTAGCACAAGTCTAGCCACAAATCTAAGAAAAATATGTGGGCGAAGTTTTAAATTTTATTTGTATATATTAATGTCTCCAAAAAATATTTC